CAGCAGTGGCTTCGAGAAGCAAAGGCACAGAGTACAACTTAGAGAAGTGCAGGCCTGAAGTGATAAGGCATGGGACGCAGACTCGGCACTGGAGACCTCCTGGCTATAAACAACTCAGCCAGGCGAGGATGGGGAGCGTATACGTGGTTCAGCCCAACACGAAGTCTACAAACCCAACAAGGAACAAAGGAACTCTGAAGAGAGCAGCAGGCTTGAGCTGCTTTCAACCCCCATTTTCCTTCCTGGCCACTGGACACACTCGGTGTCACGACAACGAGGATATTCTAGAGACCGGTCAGGAGACTGATGCTGGGATTCAACTGGATATTGCAATTGCTGTGCTCTGCTAGGCGTATGCTGTTCTTTCAGTGCACTGCTGGGACACTGTGCTCAATCAAAATCCTGTGCGACTTCAACATAATTCAAATAAGTACACGTCCTATTAAGCATTAAACCCTCCACATGTGGAATATTAAAAAAAAAAAACAAACCCAGAGCATTGGACTCTGACATGAAGTTCGAAGTGTGCAGCTGCACACTTCGAATATAATCTGGTTCAAACATGTACTCAGGCTCGGAAATGCTCTCAGCCATGTTTACTCCTCAGACACAATTAACCAAAGGAGATTGTTTCTCCCTGTTCTAACCATTCAGCTCCTGCTAGACCTATATGGACTTAACAGATCTTAACAGATCAGACAATTCTGATAACTTCACATCTCTTGGAGTCACCTCTTCCAGTTCTTATCCTTTTTTTTTTCTGCCAGAGTCCCTCATGGTCTCTCTTCCTCAGCTTGCTTGGGATGCAAAGGCATGGCAGGCTGCAAATGGTACCATCCTCTTCATAAGCCTTACCTTCTTATTTGTGTAGGTAGGCATCAAGCCAGAGCTGTCCTGAATTCTTCAGAGAGCTGAGAAAGAGAGAGAAAGAGCACTTGAGACCACATTAGGAGGAGCTGTTTAGGGGAGTGCTGGTGGGCAAAAGGGAAACAAGAGGGTTTCTATGTGTTGAGATGCTACAGAAGAACAAGCCAACTCTTATTCTTTAGGAAGCCGGTCTCTCCTACATCCTTCTGTACTTTTCCCAGTGTGTTAACTGCTACTTACTGCACAATGTCTGCAAAGGCGGTGAGCAGTGGCTTACATTGGTACTCAATGCCATGTTTGGCACACAAGGACTTCACCAGAGGAGCCACCTTCCAGTAGTTGTGTCTTGGCATCGTGGGGAACAGGCTGCGAAGAGGAGAAAGGCAAATTCTCTGCCAGTGCCCCATAAGAAAGACTATCCTTCAGATGCTCTTATGTTCATTAGTACTTCCCAGGAGTCTCACAGCCCACACTGAGCAGGGCTTTCAGTTGCTCCTGTCTCTTCTATCCCCTTGGTGGGGTTTTAGCACAAGTACTCATAGGATTCTTTGGCTTTCCTCCTCCCTTATTTTCCACTCTTTTCACTTGCATCTGTGTAACAGCATTTCTCCAAATTAAGTTATGCCATCAGCTTGGAGAATCTGCTTCCCCACCTTTCTCCAGAAGTAACCATCTCCATAGCTAAGCAGCACAAGAACGGAGTCCATCCCTCAGCTGCATATCTCACTCTCTGGAGTAACAGCATGAGCAGTTAGTACAGATAGGTTTGGATGAGTATGTCAGACTATTAATGGAGGTGCCTTGACACGGACATTTTCACATTTAAAGGCTACCACTTTGGAAAGACCCTGCTGCTGCCTGTAGGCTTTCATAGACCCTGCCCATATTGGATTTCTGCTGCTTATTCTGGTCTGCCTGCGGATCCAGTGCAAGTTTTGAATTACACTATTATGCTCTGTAGAGATTTCACCCTTCTAAAAGCTATAAACCCACTGGTACCCCAATCATTGTCTGTAGAATGCACAGCAAGAATAGGGTAAAAAAAAAACAAGAGGAAAAAAAACTTTCTCTAAGGGGCTGTACTCACTGATGTTCAATCTGGAAGTTCAGATGCCCAGTGAACCAGTCATTGAACAGGGATTGCTCAACATTACATGTTGCCTGGAGCTGGAGGAGGGGAAAGGAAAGCAAAATGAGTACAGACTGGTGTCTGCAGCCTTTCTCATTTCTCTAAAGAGCATAATATGTTGTGCCACCCTGTTCCATTGCTTTTTTCTAGCCTAAGCTGAGTCACCTCAAGGCAAGGATCAACATTCTCCTTCAGTGATGTGGACCAGCGGTGGTACGCAGACTGGCAAAGGAATTGGCTCTGTGTTCTTGTGAGCATACAGGAACAGACAGAGTCAAAAGTTTCTCCTGGGTCTTCATGGACCTATGTCTGCAGACAGAGCAGAGATGCTAGGCAGCTTCTGTGATGATCATGCTTTACTGCTGGACTCCAGTGAGGAAAGAGGCGGCATTCTACTGGCGTGAAGGAACTCAGCCAGAGCAGGCCGCCAACTTCCATTTCTGGACATGGGAAAATGGCCCAGACAGAATGGTGTGACAACCAGGGACGTGTATATATTTAGGAAGGAGAGTTGGGACCTAGCTCCTCCTTCCCTGTTATCACAACTGAATCCTATTATTCCATTACTCTTCACTTCCCAGGCACCAACAGGTTTTTCACCCTTTATGCAATGCAGGACTTGCTGCATTGCACCTAGAATTCACACTCAAACAGCCACAAATCTTAGGAAAGGAAAATATCTTACCTGGGTAGACACCCAGTCCAAATTCTTATCATAATATATATCCATTGGGATATGGTTCATTTGTGAAACCCAGACAAACCAGCTGCTCTCCAGCATCCTGTGCAGTTAGACAAGAGGCCAGGATTCAAAACCAGATAAATAAGCCCAAAGATGAGCCATTGACATGACACTGTACTCAGACTTACAAATACATGGCTAACACCTGCCTCGCTAATCCAACAACTCCAAGAAAACAGCCCGCCAGATGGGGCAGGCTTCTCCCACACATTCATCACACTGGCACGATGGCTATTACTGCTCCCTACTATTTAGCACTTTCTTATGGAACTCTTGATTATTTACAAAGTTTTGTTATGAAATTGATGCAGGATAGTATTCATCTTGTTCTACCTGCACCAAGGACCAAACTGATTAGAATCAGTAAAATATGTGAACTAAATGAAGTGTATACATGCATTTCAGACTGCTGGCTAAAACATTTGCAAGCCCACGCTAAGCTATTTCTGTTAAATATTCTCTTTCTCTAATCGGTAGTAGATCCACTATCCAAAGCGCTGAACATTATGTAAATTATGTATTCTCCAATTTGGTCAGCATCCAGCAAAACCTCTCCGCTGCTGCAGCCAACGAGCTGACTCCAAACTTGGACTAGTGATCAAGCAGAGGAGTTTCAGTTTAATTTTAGGAAATTATACCATTCAGCAGAAAGTGAGACGGTCAAAGAAAAGGTGAAAGAATAAACAAAAGGCAAAGAAAGGCATGCACACACAGATGATAAGAATATACAGGGGAAGGCGGAAGGACCTTCTAAAGAGATATTACCTGAATATAAAATAATATGCTAGGAGACTCTTTATTCCTAATAATGATCCATAAGTAAAAAAGAATCTGATATAGAAGGTCAGCATCCAGGCCAGGTCCTACCAAAATCAGAGACAACAAGAAAAAAAAAATCTTTAGAAATTACATTCACTTAAATCTTTTCCTGAGCCTCATGTCAGAAGAATGAGAAAATTTGCTGCCTTCAGCTTCTGTAGGCTTTTGCTAAATTACATAATCTAGATAAGCTCAAGTTATCACAGGCTAATAAGACTGCCTTTTCATGACTTCCTATACTAGAGGTGAATTTGAGCATTTACTCCTAGTAAGTGGATTAATTTGTTAGCAAACGGCATGCATTCAGAAACATGAGTTAAAGACTTATATCTAATCATTGTCCAGGTCTCCACAGTGAATACAGTGCTAGAGCAACAGACAACTGTATATCTCATTTTGCCTGTGGCTGGAAGTTGCTCTCTCTTCCTGCATTCATAACGCACTCAAGAGAAGGAAGAATGAAACATTAATTTTGGCTGCCCAGCATAGGGAGCTATGTAGTTCAGTGTAAAGTGTATGCAGATTGCCTGCAAATCAAGGATTTTTAAGTTCCCATAAATCCACATCCTTCTGCTCCTGACCACTACAGACCTTCTGCGTTTGCTTCCCAAACCAACGAAGTAGACAGGGCATTTGTTGGTTCTGTGAATGTGGCAAAGCAGCGCAAGTCGAAAAGGCTGGTGCTTACTTTTGTGCCTTTATCATCAAGCTGGGGAACACAGCAATGGGTTTAGCAGAAAGCATGCAGAGCCACTGGAAGTATTTCAGCAAACTGACTGCAGTATCAGGCGTAACTGAAAAGCATACAACATCACACAGCAGGGACTGAGTTCTGAACACAAGCAAGCTCCGTGTTCAGGAGAAAGGTTGAAGGCCCACACCCAATCCCTCCTAGCTGCACAAGCAGCAATACTTACCGCCCAGTATCTTTTTGTGTATGCAATATAAAATGTGTGACAGTGGAAGTAGGTAGGAAACAGGAGCGGAGGAAGAGCTGTAAGGGAGAATCCGTTATCACTGTTAATAATAATGAACTGAATAACAGACACCACACTGCAAACTGCAACCAAAGGATCCCCGAACAGTCGCTCAATATGGAGAACGTCTGAGAAGTTTCAGGGCTATGGCCTTATACAGACGTTTCTGGAAGCTATCAGTATGCCTCAAAACAGAGAAACAGTGAGTGACCTGGGAGCCTACTGGTCTCAGAAGTAAAACAAAGGTGACACAAGAAGTTCTCCAAAGCCAGATTGAGGACGGTTCCTGCTCTTTAGCATGACAGTCTTGCTGATGCTACTGCTAACATTACCTGTGGTCACAGGTAACGTTGTCTTCTGTTTCCTCGTGGGGAGCTATGGCCAAGGCTTCTCTTCAATAAGAGTGAAATGAAAAAGGGGCAGGGAGAATTCTGCAAAGTAAGGAGGCAAGGTCTCTTCACCCCTGTGCTGAAACTGTGCTAGTTTGGAAAAGGAATAAAGCTTCACTAGGTCAGGGAGAGGCAGGGGGACAAGCACGAACCTAGTGATCAGGGCTGATGATTATATTCTTCCACACAGGCACCTTAGTGCTACTCAAGTCCTGTGGCTTGGATCTACAAGCCCCATTGGTTCTTATGGCATTACAAGAGAATGGAGATACTCACTGATGAAGAAGTATTTGTGCTGATGATTGTATGGCATGTATTTTTTCTTTTTGATCCCAAGCTGTGAAAAGAAAGAACAACAAAATGCTGAGTGAAGACTAAGCAACCCATTCAGGTAACTTTCTGTTTTCCGTTCTTGTCTCCCAAGAAGCACTCTTTGTGCATAGTTCCTACAACCCTCATTACTACTGTCTCCCTCTTGTGTACCTGTCCTATTAGCTTACATACATAATATGCCTTAGAAAAGGAAAAGGAAGGGAAATCTTCAATCCAGTGAACAGCTTTAATGCCTTACAACTTGTAAAGTTCTTCAGCTACAAATAATTAAGCAAACCAGAAGCCTTTCTCCAGTAAGGGAAAATAAGTGAAATAAGTAAGTAATTGCTACAAGGTAGATCTAGATATACTCATGACAAAACAAAAGAGAGGTAATATAGCCTGTAAGAAAAAGCTAAATTGGCAGGAAGCAAACTGCTGTCACAGATACCACCATTATCTGCACTGGAAGGGAATAACGAAGCAAAAGTTATACCAGAAGCTTTCATCCATTAAAAGATGGTGTGATCTCTAAGCGTACAAGGGTTGTGATAAAAATAATTTTGAGGGTGGGTAGAGGTGAATTTTAACTGTTGAATTTCCTTGTTTTTGTATTCCTATTCCTATTACATTCATAATTCATTTGGTGCAATCTTAGATATTTCAAGATATTTCAGTTATATTACTGGTCAAAAATAGCCATAAGTACTTCCTCTGTTTTCTTTTTCTACTTCATTCTCTGATTCCGTATACTTACGCTGACAGCTTCACGCTGGCAAAAGACTTATGAGGAGAAAGACATTTCACCCCTAACTGTTATAGCTATGCTGACAGAGCCTCCAAAATTGATGGAGTTGGGCAACAAAAGGGATACAGCGTTGCCTCAGGCTGGCGCTCCTGGTGGTGGTCTAGTTGTACAAGCTGAGAATGTCCTATGCTGTTGCATGACCTCTGCCCATGAAAGGAACCTGCCAATAAACAGTTCTACAGAGCTACGTGAACAACCCTTGGTTCCTCAGCCCTGCTGTTACTGGCTGCCTTTTGCGATAAGGCTTCTGCCTTCTCCTAGAAAGCACAAACATGCAGAAGCAGTCTATACCTCTGAGCCTCAGGCATTAGTATGAAGCAATAAGGCTTACAGGTTATCTAAGAATCATTAATTAGCGTGTTGTTATGAAATCCAATAGGTCATTAGATTGCTATAATCGTTAATAGTCCTTTTCGTGGTGGGGCTTCCACAGCACGTAAAACACATAAATCACATCTAATTTATTTACAACTACTCGTCAACTGTCTAAGCAACCTTTAAAGGAACTTACTGTAAACTATGACCTGCTCCTGAAGACTGAAGAAAATGGACACAGAAATGAAAGTAATTTTTTTTCAGAAACTGTCATCACATCTTAGTTTTAGATCTTTATGTTCTAATGTGCTTCTTGTTGACTAGCGGGTTCTTCCCATTTCCTAGCACATGGGCATGAACACACACACATACACACACGCTGACCTCCACAGAGCATTTTTTCCCCAAAGTAAACAAGAAAGGGTGCATATCAATGTCAGGATCTTTCTGGAAGCAGTTGGGCTTGGCATGATGCTGGGAGTGCAGAAGAGTCCACCATTTGGCTGAGGCCCCCTGTTAAAGTGAAAAACAAAGTATGAAGAGTACGATGATCTCAGAGCCAGTTAAAACATGCACTTTTGCAGTAAGGACATCAAATCTAATAGGCGTTTCCAGAGTCGGGTACTTACAATCAAATGGCACATCACAAACTTATGCAGCAAGTGGTTCCACTTGGTCTTCCTGAAGACTGAAAGATGACCTAAATCATGCTGTAACCAAGAAGCCTGGACCTGGAAGAGGAAAAAGGAACCACTGAGAGCAGGAAAAAGAGGAATCACAATCAGGACAGTGCCATACCCATCCTTTGCTTTGATTTATCAAGATTTACTTCTCAGCTACTTCTCCAACACCGCAAGCAGATAGGAGCTACGAAGGCTTGACATTCTTGAGGGTTCCCCTAAAATATCTCTTGCAGGAGGGAGTCACAGATTAAGCATACCGAGAACTCCCCACATGCAAACTTTCTTATTTGCACTTTCTGTAAACACATGCCACGCAAACTGTGTTTTCTAACAACTGAAGAGGAGAACTATGCCAGGTGAGGAAACGGAGGACTATGAAACTGCAATACTATTATATGTATGACAGTCCATGCAATTCTTTGCATATATGCTATGGGCTTGGTAGCTTACCTGCGAAATGGTCAGTGCCGCCAGAGAGACAATAAAGGGTATTAACGATGTCCCAAAGTAGAAGAGAATGAGCCAAGCAGCAGCATCCAGCAGGAGGATGTGAGTGAGGTGCAGGAAGAAGAAGAGTCGGTTTGGCTTCAGAAGTCCCATCTTCTCAACAGTGGCACGCAATTCACGGAAGTCTTCCACCAGCATTTTCTGTGAGAAGCACCAGTGTTAGAACATCCCTTGCTCCTAGGGCATGGCACTGCAGTCTCAAGGCCCTTTTCAACATGCTGCAATTGCAGTAGGCAACTAGGCAAAGGAAAAGTTGGGGCAGGCTAGGGGGAGTGGGAAAAAGAGAGTCTTGGACAGAGGGAAGCAGTGAGGTCCATACAGACCAAGGAACGTTTGCACACCAAGACCGCTCCTATCCCATCTGTGCCTCTCTTGTGAGGTTTTTCTTTGACATATCAGATTGGTGACTCCCACAATGCCATCAACAGTGCTTCTGTGGATGATTAAGGAACTGGACTTTGAGACTGCTATAGAGGGCCCTACAAAAGGGCAGTGCCAATACAGCCTGTGAAACTAGGCTTATTTTATGGCTAATACACTCTGCCTGCATCCTCCCCCTACAGATATCTACAATAGAAGGGAGTAGTAGGGTTTGAAAACTGACTATCAGATGGAGAGAATTTCTGAATATTTGGTTAGCTCTTTCTCAAAGCAGGGGAAAGAAGAAAAGGCGATAGCTGTGATATTCGTGAGAGCAAAGCAAGGCTCTGTTATTTTGCTAAGGTTGCTGTGATAAGGAAAACTCCATCTTCAGGAGTCTCATTCTAAACCACGTAAACATGGATTCAGACTAATATTCATTTATTATTCCTAGGCAGTAGCACAAAAAAATAGTGGAAAAAAAATTAGATCCCACTGTTGCAGGAGGTATGCTGATACAGAAGAACAAGGTCTAACGTCAGAATATTCCGCTTTAATCTACTTTTGGTTTGACTGATGGGGATAGACTTACGTTCTTAGCGGGCTCAACACTGGGTTCCTCTGGTGCCAGCTCCCCAATCTGCAGTGACTTCAAGTACTTGCTCACGAGCAGCTTGTCAACATGGAATGCTACAAAGGCATCCTGCAAACGTACGAGAGTAAAGGAAGAGATTAGAAAAAGCAGCACTGTTACTAACCTCCATCCGCTGCGCACACTAACGCTAGGGAGGAGCCACAGCGGCAGAGATAGCTGGCTTACCTTTCCACCTCGTCAAGCTTTTGCTGACCTTTTTATTCTTGTCTTTGTCCTCCCCTCTCCTTAAGTGAGACCTTATTTCAGCTGACAAACAGAAGAGGTCCGACTTCCACTACTGCAGTTATTATGGGTATACAGGTGCCATAACGCAGGGTTGAATGAACGCCTAAAGCGCAGCTTAGTTTCCTTGCCTTTCTTCCCTTTCCCACCCAGTTTTAGTAACTCTTCTGTCTCCTTTGACTGTCAGGTGCTCAGACCAGCAGACCAGAATCTTGTTTGCTGTGCAATTTGTCAAAAGAGAATGTTGCCTTTTAAATCTGACTGCTTAAAAGGAAAATGCAGTTCTTCTTATTGACAGACCGGGAGGAATTTTAACCTTGCAGAAATATATCCTTCCCAGAGGCTGCACTCACACATTTCCCAATGTAATCATGCAAGAGCATCAAGACTTTTGTCATACTCCGGCTATACATAAAGAAGGGAAACGACACTGCAAGAAGCGATACAAGTTCTGAAGGAGGAGGAGGATAGGTGACAGCATCGAGAAGCCTGCCCTAGGAGAGGAAGCAGAACAATATCCCTATCTCTGGGTAGAGAACTCCACGCAGGAAGGATTTCACCAAGGACCACGTGATGCAGGGAAACCTTCTGTTTTCTCTAGTCCTTGGCGTTATACAAAAGGAAGTGAATGCAAGGATCCAGTTCATATTCACAGGTCTGGTTAGGTGCCGCTGATCTACCACAAAGAGCACTAAACAGCGATGGTGTGATAGCCTCCAGGCAGGGTCAAGGACAAAAGGGCAGGATACAGAAAGACAGGGGAAGAGGAAATGCCCTGAGAGCGTATGGAGGGGGCAGCTGAAGCCCTGAAGGAAACAAGAAGACGTGCTTGGATATGCTGCAGATGAGACTCCAGGGTCCTGGGTATGTTCACCCTGCAGCTCCATGTAGCTGTCACTGAGTTCGCTCTAAACAAGCTAGTTCAGGTATCGCACATAATCAGGCTACACAGGAGAGCACAGAAATACACATACGCTAATTTTTCCTGCTTCTGCAAGAGGTCGACTAGTGCCAGCCTCTAAGATAACTGAAATCAGATGGCTTCCTCCGTGCTGTATTACGCCACCCTGCATTGTAGACATACCTGTAGTGAATATCCCACCTTTTCTCTCTCTCTCTCTCTCAAAAGGTTTTTCTGAGGCCAAGATTCATAGCTGGCAAGTAAGCAGAGTTCAAGATAGAGCAAGATACTCCAACATCACATGTATCAATTAGCCTTGGAACAAAACCACATTCTGAATACTGTTCCTGGTCAGATGTGATGAGGCTGTTGTTATCCAAGAGTGCTGAGTTGATGGAGCTTTACTTGCTCTTCAGCATCTCCGGAGCAAAGTTAAAAAGTAAAAACCCTTCCTATTAATTTCACTTACAGCCCTTGAGCTGCAGTTTCACGATGCGTGCTTAAAAAACAAAAGGTGGGAAAATAACCAGGCATTTTTCTACTCTGGTGCATAGTCTCTAAATGTGCACAAGTGTGAAGATATTTGAGCTGGTGTCGCATGAAACTGGCTGAAGTCTGGCAAGGCTTAATGATCTGGTCATGGCAGCAACCTGTAAGAGCCATCTCAGATCCCAGAAATAAAATATCTGTACTTTCCAAGTTTATGCATTGTCGAGTATTCCAGCATCCTCAGATGAAAGAAATTTGACCGTACTAAATGAAAGAAAGCTGACTGCAGTAAAGAAAGCAAATGAATGATGGAAAATATGGAAAGCAAGCTATAGCATTTGAAATTTAAATTTAGTGGACTGAAAATTGTTTTCACTTCTGTGAGCATCAAACATCCCCTATCTAAGGAGGCTCAGGGAACTATTGGCCTTGGGTTGTTTTTCAAAAGACAGAGCAAGGAAGCAAACGATGCTTTTCACATACTGATTTATTTGTACAGAAGCTGATTTACTCCTATTTTCACACTTTCCACATGTATCAGAAGGCAAGAACTCCAGGGAATTTGCCAAACGGTGTGGCATGTCCCCACAGCTTAGTAGGGACAAAAAATAGCAGTCAAATAGGAAAGGTGGTGAACGGAAGTCTTCTCACCCATGGAGTGACACGCCAGCAGTTGGACACTTGCTATCGACGTAATTCTTTCAAACAATTTTGCTCACCCCGAGGGCCAGAAGGCCAATATGCAATAACTACAAAAACTTTTCTGGAAAAACTGCTTGTGAAAGCAGGCTGTCTTTGCCCTCCCTACGTGATGTGGCGTGGCACACGACGAGCGATACCTTTCTTAAAGGTATGTTTCTGGGAGCGACCGCTGCAGCTACCAAAGGGCCATTGCTGTACATGTGTGGCAGCATCCCCCTGCTACCCTCGCTGTAGGCACCCACTGAAGTCGCTACAGTACCTGCAAGAGCGATACTGGGAGAGAGGGAATCCCCAACACTTGAGCAGCGCACCACCACCACCCCCCC